TCTAAGGCAGAACTAGAACTCAGAGTCACCTGATGCTTGGCTCATAGTCACCCAGCAGGCTCTTATGACTAGGTGGGACTAGAACTCACAGTCACCTGGTGATTGGCCCAAAGTCCTCCAGCTGGCTTTTTTTGCCTAAGACGGGACTAGAACTCAACATCTCCTGGTGATTGGCTCATAGTCACCCAGCCGGCTTTCATGCCTAAATCCGGACTAGAATTCACAGTCGCCTGGTGATTGGCCCAAAGTCATCCAGCTGGCTTCCATGTCTAAGATAGGAGTAGAATTCAGTATCACCTGCCTGTTGGCCTGAGCTCTCACCCACTTGACTTTCATACGTGAGATTAGAACTCGCCATTTCCTGGGGATTGGCCCAAAGTCCCCCAACCGGCTTTCATATCTAAGGCGGGACTCGAACTCAGCATCTCCTAGTTTCCACCCCGGTGCCTTAAATCAAATCCATCCTCAAGCTTCAAATTAAACCACTCCCAAGTTATTTTTTTTTTAAAACCCCACTCTTGTCATCCTAGCTTTTCTTTTAACTAGGATCTCGAGAGTTATATTTTGATCGATGTTTCAAGATGTTCCATCCCTTGGTTTAACGCAGGGGTGTCAAATTCAATTTGATCGAGGGGTCGCATCAGGGCTCCGGTTGACCTCGGGTGTGGGGGGGCGTGGCCGATTGGGTGGGTGTGGCCAGCTTGACGCCATTCCCCAAACTGTGTCATGTTTCCTCTTCGTATTGGTTAGACCAGGACGGCCCGCAAAAAAAACGGGGTAAGTTGGGGTCCATATCCTCACTTGTGTTTGGAAAGAGGATTGAGTTGTTTTTGGAAGAAGAAGGCTCAAGAAAATAAATAAATAAAAGATTGCTGGAGTCCAGCATTTCTGAACAGATGATGAGAAACCAACACTGATGTCTTCTTATCCATTTTGTTCTGTTTTGGCCAGATCCCTTGGAGATATTCAAGAAATATCTAGCATCATCTGCAAGGATCCGGCGAAGACGTCAGCTGTGAAAACTCCCAGAAATTCTAATTCCCCCATTAAGACCAGCACCCCGCTCAGCCCCGGTTAGTCAAGGCTCTGTGGAAGTAGCAAGAGTATATAGCTGATAATTCTTGGGGGTATTGGGGGAGAAAGCAGTCTTCGAAGCTGGGAGAATTGGGGCTCAGCTTCAGCCTTGGCCGTTTCTGCGGTCTGAAGCTCTGGAAACGGCAGAAAAATAATGTTGTATAAAGAGAGGCATGTTACAATACAACAAAGGTCTTCAGACTGGTTCACTTTAAGGGGTATGGACTTCAACTCCCAGAATCCCCCAGCCAGCCTGCTTTGAAATGGGTGGGCTTCCCTTCCCAGAATTCCCCAGCCAGCCTGCTTTGAGTTGGGTGAAACTGGGCTTGGCTAGTCTAGGGAAGAGAAGGACCAGGGGAGACAGGATAGCATCTTCCAATATTTGAGGGGCTGCCACAGAGAGGAGGAAGGGGTCAAGCTATTCTCCAAGGCACCCGAAGGCCAGACAGGGAACAATGGATGGAAATTGAACAAGGAGAGAGATTCAACCTAGAAATAAGGAGAAACTTTCTGACACTGAGAACCATCAACCCATGGAACAGAAGTTACCCTCGGAAGTTGTGGGAGCGCCATCAGTTGAGATTTTCAAGAAGAGATTGGACTGCCATTTGTCAGAAATGGTGTAGGGTCTCCCGCTTGGGCGGGGGGTTGGACTAGATGACCTACAAGGTCCCTTCCAACTCTGATTATCTGTTAAACTCCCAGAATTCCCCAGCCAGACTATACATGACCAGTTCCTGTAAGCATTCTTCATATGTTTTAGTCTCCAGTCCCCTAAAATCACCCTTCTCTGCACTTTTTCTATACTCTCAACGTCCTTTTTTTATAGTGTGGTGACCAAAACTGGGTGCAGTACTCTAGGTGTGGCCTTACTAAGGCTTTATAGAGTGGGATTAGTACCTCCTTTGATCTCGATTGTATCCCTTTGCTAATGCAATTTAGGATTGCATTGGCTTTTTTGGCTGCTACCGCACGCGGCTGGCTCATATAGACTCCAAGATCCCCCTCCCAGTTCCTGCTATTGAGCCTGGTTTCACCCAGTCTACATGTGTCCTTTTGGGTTTTTCTTGCCTAATTGTAAGACTTTATTTTTTCTCTGAATTTCAATGAATGTTCTCTGTCTGAACATCTGGCAGTAATTTATATCCCCTCCAAAGGTGAACCGAAACGAGCTATTTAGAACTCGTTTGAATAAATTGTGCGTGGGAGAAAGAAAACGACGGATTAAAAACCTTCCTCTCTC